AAGTGGATGCCAGGTATTTTCCAAAAAAAAAAAATTTAAAATATACACATGCCAGTGTTAGCACTAGAAATGCTTCGCACCCAGGTAGGTCTGGCACAGCAAACATTTGTCTGCAGTTGTGTCAATCAGCCATTCTTCAGCAAAGCACAGACGCTCCTTTAAGCACACACATATCTGCTTTAAGGAATCAGACCTCTACTCAGAAAAAAACAAACGTTGTGGTAACAGTAACACCTGATAGAGCTTTCCTGCCACAGTGACACAGCAGAGCTTGAAGTATGTGCAACTTTCTATATTCCTGAAAGTCTTCCAAGATCTATCCAGAGCACTAGCAGGGTATCACCCATCTTGAAGCAAAATGGTAGTACCTTGCTTATTGGGAGTGATACTTTTTCTAACATCCCTATCATGATTTGTTTGATCATTCACATGCACTTGAAAATTGACATTTTACTATACTATCTGCTTGACTACATCAGCCGTGGCTAAATCACTTTCATTGTATTAGATCAGACACAGCTACACAGATAATTCCCTCCTAATTAACAAAAGGCTGGCTAACAACACCAGAATTACTTTTTGTCAAAAAAAGTTGCTCTTTCCATACTCTCCCTTTAGCCTCTTTGCATCTTCTACTTTAAGGTGTTTCTTCCTTTTCTCAGACTTCACAGCTTGCTCCTTCCTTTCTTGATTTTCCTGCATTCAGACAGAATGGTAAATAAAAACATTAATAAGAAGAGTTACTGGAGAAAAAGCTGATTAAGAATCTCTCAATTTGCAATGAATAGCTATTCTGAATATGCCCTGTACACACTTACAATGCTCAGCTGCTGGGGTTTGAGGGTAAATGGCAGAACAGAGCTTCCTGGTCAGTTCCTTTGACCTCCTCTGTATAATGAAGTTACCAGCAAAGTCTTTCATTAGCTTTAACTGCAAGGTTCAACTCTAGACTGAAATGCATTCTTGTTAATTAGTCCCTTTGTCCACAAAACAGAGCATTAGTTTGCCTCAGTTAGCATTCTAGAGATTTATCCTGTAACGACATTGATTCTATAATATTTGTATTCAGGGATTTCCACCAGAAAATCCAGGAACTCTACTATGTTCAACAGCAATTCACAGTTTCTCTTCAGGCACCCGTTACATTTGCCAGCTGTATTTCTGCACTAGCGTTTGGTGGCAGAGTCCAGGCTGGATGTGTGTTGGTAGCAGCCATACAACTGCTGGGATGGCATAAATCCTGTTGGGATTTGCGCAGACAGGCAGGACTGGTTTTCACAGAGCTGCTGGTACCGGGATGATACGATTAATGGAGGAAGAGAAAGAAATTGAATGATTACTGCTAGTAAAGAAAGATCTTTACTCAATGGAGTATTTCTGGGTTTTGATAAGTAGCACAATCTTAGGAAAGGGGTAGTTGTGAACAACTGGGATAACTGTAGCAGAACAATAGTAGATCAGTAGTTATTTGGCCTGCGGTCATAGAGATTTGTGACGTTAAGAGAAGCGTGCTGCTTATCAAATTACAAAATCTGATAATGTCCAGGAAGATGTTGGTGATTTGGTGCGGATAGGATTCTTGATGAGACATGTCTGGTCTCCTTTGCAGAGAGTTTGGCAGCAAAGACATTTTCCCGTTATAGTGATAGATTTGGTTGATTGCTATGGATCATCTGCCACCATTTCCATAAGATGGGCTGAAAGAAGTCCCAGGAAACATGCACCAGTTTCTCAGAGCCTTTATAGAAAGTAAAAGCATAGAATTCTTTGGTCCAAAGAAATTTCCAGACGAATAAAGAAAACTTGTGAACATTAATAGAGTTAGTCTCTGAAATACAGGAGCATTATAGGCTCAAGGCTACACGGACCTTCACTGGATGCCTAGAAAAGGAGAGAAAAAAGGTGTACTCTTGACAAAGAAAGAAAAGGATATATTTGCCTTGAATGAAGGGTGCTTCTGAAAGAATGAGGTACAGGTGGTGAAGTCTTAGGGAGAGGCTAAAAGCCTATCA